ACCTTCTCGGGGGCTTCAAGTGTCTTTTTTAAGAATGTAAAACCTTCTCGGGGGTCCCAAATGAGTTTTTTAAAAATGTGAAACTTTCTCAGAGGCCCCAAATGGTTTTTTTTAGAATTTGAAACCTTCTCAGGGGTTCCAAGTGTCATTTTTAAAAATGTAAAACCTTCTCGGGGGCTTCAAGTGGATTCTGGATTCTGGATTCTGGATTCTTAATTTATGGGGGCTGACCGTGGCCAGCCGGCACTTAGGCCTCGCCTTTGGGCCCATTGTACCTTCCCCAAGTCCATATCAGGGTGTTTTCCCGCTCCTCTACTCGTCAAGCCACCCAACTGCTTGAATGTACTTGAGTAATGCAGAGGGTGGAAACTCCCTGATATTTGCCATACTAGGCCAGATGTCCCCTAGTATGGATTCCCTGTAGGAGGCTAGGGCTGGACACTCACGAAGAATGTGCTCAGCTGTTTCCTCTTCTTCATTGCATCCACGACAGATTGGGTCTGTTACCACCCCTATCGTATATAGATGTTTGTTAAACTGGTAATGTCCCGTAAGGAATCCTACCAGTTTACGCAGTTTGTCCCTTGAAAGTGAGAGATAAAATTTCGTCAACTTACGGTCTGGTGTCGCCATACAAGCTCTACTATGCCGACAGCTGCTCAACTTCACCCATATCTGCTCATGGCGTCTCTGGGTATATTGCTTTACGAGTTCGTTCGAGAGGGCGACCGAAGGCGTGATTGCCGGTTCGGATCCCCAGAAGGGCATGCGCGCGGCTCGCTTCGCCATCTCATCTGCCCTCTCGTTTCCTTCGTTGCCACTGTGTCCTTTGATCCAACAAAGTTCCACACTATTCCTCTGCGTTACATACTTTAGCGTTTGTCTGCACTCCCAAACCAGCCCGGATCGAACCATACAGGGGCTTCAAAGTGTCTTTTTTAAGAATGTGAAACCTTCTCGGGGGTCCCAACTGAATTTTTTAAAAATGTGAAACCTTCTCAGGGGCCCCAAATGGTATTTTTTAGAATGTGGAACCTCTTCGGGAATCCCAAGTGTCATTTTTAAAAATGTAAAACCTTCTCGGGGCGCCAAATGTCCTTTTTTAAGAATGTAAAATCTTCTCGAGGGTCCCAACTGTGTTTTTTAAAATGTAAGACCTTCTCAGGGGCCCCAAATCTTTTTTATAGAATGTAAAACTTTCTCGGAAGTCCTAAGTGTCATTTTTAAAAATGTAAAACCTTTTCGGGGGAGGCAAATGCTTTTTTTTAAGAATGTAAAACCTTCTCGGGGTCCCCAAATGTTTTTCTTTAGAATGTGAAACCATCTCGGGGGTCCCAACTGCCTTTTTAAAAATCTAAAACCTTCTCAGTGGCCCCAAATGTTTTTTTTTTAGAATGTGAAACCTTCTCGGGAGTCCCGAGTGTCATTTTTAAAAATGTAAAACCTTCTCGGGGGTCCCAAGTGTCATTTTTAAAAATGTAAAACCTTCTCGGGGGCTTCAAGTGTCTTTTTTAAGAATGTAAAACCTTCTCGGGGGTCCCAATTGAGTTTTTTAAAAATGTGAAACCTTCTCAGAGGCCCCAAATGGTTTTTTTTAGAATTTGAAACCTTCTCAGGGGTTCCAAGTGTCATTTTTAAAAATGTAAAACCTTCTCTGGGGCTTCAAGTGTCTTTTTTAAGAATGTGAAACCTTCTCGGGGGTCCCAACTGAATTTTTTAAAAATGTGAAACTTTCTCAGGGGCCCCAAATGGTATTTTTTAGAATGTGGAACCTCTTCGGGAATCCCAAGTGTCATTTTTAAAAATGTAAAACCTTCTCGGGGCGCCAAATGTCCTTTTTTAAGAATGTAAAATCTTCTCGAGGGTCCCAACTGTGTTTTTTAAAATGTAAGACCTTCTCAGGGGCCCCAAATCTTTTTTATAGAATGTGAAACTTTCTCGAGAGTCCCAACTGTCTTTTTAAAAATCTAAAACCTTCTCAATGGCCCCAAATGTTTTTTTTTTTAGAACGTGAAACCTTCTCGGAGGTCCCAAGTGTCATTTTTAAAAATGTAAAACCTTCTCGGGGACCTCAAATGTTTTTCTTTAGAATGTGAAACCTTCTCGGGGGTCCCAAGTGTCATTTTTAAAAATGTAAAACCTTCTCGGGGGTCCCAACTTTCGTTTTTAAAAATGTAAAACCTTCTCGGGGGCGCCAAATATCTTTTTTTAAGAATGCAAAACCTTCTCGAGGGTCCAAACTGTGTTTTTTAAAATGTAAGACCTTCTCAGGGGCCCCAAATGTTTTTTTATAGAATGTGAAACCTTCTCGGGAGTCCCAAGTATCATTTTTAAACATGTAAAACCTTTTCAGGGTCCCCAAAGGTTTTTTTTTAGAATGTGAAACCTTCTCGGGGGTCCCAAGTGTTATTTTTAAAAATGTAAAACCTTCTCGGGGGCGCCAAATGCCTTTTTTTAAGAATGTAAAACCTTCTCGGGGGTCCCAACTGTTTTTTTTTTAAATGTAAAATTTGTCAGGGTCCCCAAAGGTTTTTTTTAGATTTTAGAATGTGAAACCTTCTCGGGGGTCCCAAGTGTTATTTTTTAAAATGTAAAACCTTCTCGGGGGCGCCAAATGTTTTTCTTTAGAATGTGGAACATTCTCGGGGGTCCCAAGTGTAATTTTTAAAAATGTAAAACCTTCTCGGGGGCGCCAAATGTCTTTTTTAAAAACGTAAAACCTTCTCGGGGGCCCCAAATGTCTTTTTTAAAAATGTAAAATCTTGTCGGGGTCCCCAAAGGTTTTTTTTTTAGAAAGTGAAACCTTCTCGGGGGCGCCAGATGTCTTTTCTTAAGAATGTAAAACTTCTCGGGAGTCCCAACTGTCTTTTTTAAAAATGTAAAACCTTGTCAGGGTCCCCAAAGGTTTTTTTTTAGAAAGTGAAATCTTCTCGGGCGTCCCAAGTGTCATTTTTAAAAATGTAAAACCTTCTAGGAGGCCCCAAATGTCTTTTTTACAAATGTAAAACTCTGTCAGTGTCCCCAAACGTTTTTTTTAGATTTTAGAAGGTGAAACGTTCTCGGGGGTCCCAAGTGTCATTTTTAAAAATATAAAACCTTCTCGAGGGCGCCAAATGTCTTTTCTTAAGAATGTAAAACCTTCTCGGGGGTCCCAACTGTGTTTTTTAAAAATATTAAACCTTCTCAGGGACCCCAAATGTTTTTTTCTTTTAGAATGTGGGACCTTCTCGGGGGTCCAAAGTGATATTTTTAAAAATGTAAAACCTCGGGGACGCCAAATGTCTTTTTTTAAGAATGTAAAACCTTCTCGGGGGTCCCGACTGTGTTTTTTAAAAATGTAAAACCTTCTCAGGGCCCCCAATTTTTTTTTTTTAGAATGTGGAACCTTCTCGCGGTCCCAAGTATCATTTTTAAAAATGTAAAACCTTCTCGGCGGCTTAATCATTGGCTCTCTTTTTTTTTTAATTATATATAGTTTTCTTTAAATGACACGATGCTCAAAAACAAGTCTTGCGTTGTAATTCTTATAGAGAAATAATAAGGATTTTGCATTAAATTCTTGACCCTCGACGATTATAAGAAAATCATTACAATTGAGATAGGGCGGGAAGAAGAAGAAAAACCTTAAAACATGTTCAACATGGAAAATTTGTATCTATAAGGAAATATTGATTTTGCAATTAGGCTCCGCCCCTCGGCTTACCACGAATAGAAAAAAATCATCAGAATTGAGATAGGGTGGGTGGGCGGGGCTTACATTTTGTCTTTTTGTTTCGATATGTGTAGACTTCTTTTCACAACATGAAACTTAAAACATGTTTAAAATAGAAAATTTCTATAAGGAAATATCGATTTTGCAATTAGGCTGTGCCCCATAATTGCAAAATTCATATTTCCTTGTAAAAGTATACCATTTAACTAAGTTTCTTGTTGTGAAAAGATGACCTATGTATAAAAAAAAAAAACAAGACCAAATATAAACTCCGCCCACCCGCCTTGTCTTTTCTCAGAAGGTATATCATTTGCCAAAATCCGTCTTATTTTAGTAGCTACTAGCCCCGGCGACCCGTCTTCTATTTGCTTAGAGAAATCTCATTTGCCAAAATCACTCTTATCTTAAACAGGTGCTAGCCCCACCCACCCACCCCATCTTTTCTTAGAGAGTATCACATCTGCCAAAATCAGTCTTATCTTACCAGGTACTAACCCCGCCCACTGGACCTCTATTTGCTTAGAGGGATCTAATTTGTCAAAATCAGTTTTATCTTTGCAGCTACTAGCCACGCCCACACACCAGTACGATTACTTGAGAACTTGTTTTACATAAAACAAGGATTTTGCACACATATCTGTCAAAACCACTCCCAACTTGCCCACTTTCCAAAATAAATTGTCCACTTTTGACACATTTCAAGTCAGATTTAGTCGACAAGATTGTGAAATGACGTCATCAGTTTTTTTGATGAGAAGAAAGAAGTGCGAGTTTTTGGGCGATACTTCGTAGATATAGAAAATGAAATTCAAAAATTTCCAGAAAATGTTCTTTTGAAAACGTTAAAAATTTTGATCTGAAAATCGTCTTGCAATATCTCTTCAATCAACCGAAAAAATTCAAAAAATAGTCGCACTAAAATGGTTCAAAACGTCAAAAGTGGATCCATTTGAGAGGGGAAAATTGTCGATTTACGAATTTTTGTAATACATCTTCAAATAATCGCGAGAAATAGAAGTAAATTCTTGTTTATTGTAGTTTTATGTGTCAATTTTGAAAAAAATTGATCAAAAAAACACAAAATTATGGTTTGTTGAGCTTACTTTGTGATAATATGGATAAATAGGTGTGAAACGAAATAACAGTGATTATATCAGGTGGTCTTAAACCGCATTAAATGAATGATAAATTGATGTATTTTCGCTTTGTCCCACCTTTATCTCCGATAAATTGTCTCGTTTGAATCTAGGGTAATGAAATATTTATTTTAGCATGTTGGCAACGGCCCGACAGTCCGTGTCTGTCAGAGATGTGTCACAGCCGCCAGCCATCCATGTATCTTTCAAGAAAAGCACAATGGCGTTAAATTAGCAAACGTCTGACGTTTTTGATTTTATTATGTGAAAGAAACCAATACCAAAGTAATTTTCAACCAAAGAAACCCGTAACGTACCGCAAAATGTAATAACCCCCCAAAACCAAAGAAATCCACGCAAATCATGACTATAAAACCAAGTGTCCACGAGAACAAGCTTTAATAGAATATTGTAAGTACCCCCCTTACCAACCCGCCCCGTTTAACCCACCCACCCTAGGTACAAAATGGGTTGTGTTAGCAGCAAGCCTGACATAAACGACCAGCACCCGAACATCTTCCAGGTGTCGAACGTCAACGATCAAGGCGATTTAGTCAGTCCCGGGCAGCTAGAAGTCACCGAAACCGAACTAGTCTTATACCAAAGAGGCAAAAACCCCACAATATGGCCGCTGCGCTCCCTGCGGAAGTACGGCTTCGACTCGGAGATCTTCAGCTTCGAGTGCGGCCGGAGGTGCCCCACCGGCCAGGGCATCTACGCCTTCCGCTGCCGCAAGGCCGAGCAGCTGTTCAACAAGGTCCAGCAGCACATCGTGCGCAACTCCAGCGACGAGGCCAACCCCATGGGGGTGAGCGTCATCAACCCGGAGTTCCCTGTCCCGGCGGCCTGCACCGGCCCGCCCGTACAAAGACGCATACCGTCCCAGCCCGAGGGCTACCTCAACCCCGTGGCGGCCCCCAACAGCGTGCGCCCGCACCCCAGTCTGAGTCGCCCGGGCTCGCTGACGAGCAACGGGCCGCTGAGCCCCGCGGGGGCGTCGCCGCCGCCCGACTCGGCGCAGGAGCACAACAACAACAAGCGCGGCAGCCTGGGGGCGGAGTACACGAACTCGGGTACGGTGGAGGAGGGGCTGCCGAACTACGCGAACCTGGGGCTGGTGGCGTCGCCGACGGCGACGGTGCCCGCTGAAGGTTACATCACGGTGATGGATAGTCCGTGTCACTTGTACATGAACGTGGACGCCGCCGCCAAGGAGGGGAACGGGAGCGACGAGGACTCGAGGCACTGCTATGCCAACATTGACACCAAAGAACTAGAACATTTAAGGCCGTTGCTGAAGTCCAGCATCGACACCCCGTTGCCGAGCGTGCCGCAGACGCCGACCGCTCTCTACCTCGCCGTGCACGAGGTCAACTACGCCGAGCTGGATTTGGACCCGGGGAAGAGTGATGTCGCGGCCTCTCAGGTCACGCCCGAGAGTCCGAACAAGTCCAAGAAGAGCTATGCCACGATAGATTTCCAGAAGACGAACGCGCTGTCGCAGTCAATAAATCCGCCGATGGAGGTGGAGGAAGGCAGCAGGAAAACTAGACATAATTCTACTATTAGTGATGTAACAACTACTAGGCATAGCAACTCACTAAGTGACTAACACATCGAATTATAATACAAATTTTGTGATTATGTATGATTTATTTAATAAGGTGACGAGGTTTTCGTAATTTTTCCAAGGTGTTTCTTTTTACAGACCGCGACTAAACATCGATTATTGCAAAGGGCCTTTCGTTTTGTCACCTTATTAGGTACTTGTGATTATCTACAACATGTAAATTTGTCAACTTTTCTTTTGTAAAAACAAATTTACAAATGCCAAAGATATTTGATAATTGTTAATGATTTAAGTATGTATAAAAAAGGTGATGTATTATTTTAGTATATTATACATTGCGAAAGTAACTAATTATAGTACAGTTAAATATATTATATTTAATTTTTAATAAATGACATTTTACAAGTTTCGCTTTAGCTCTCTCCCCACCCTATCCGCTTTCCCACCTTTTTTCAGAGTCGTTCAAAATTAAGATTTTCACATTCATAATCAAATTCAGCTATTTTTGACGTTTTCAAAAGAATATTTTTTGAAATATCCGGATGGTTCTCCAAAAAAGGATTTTTTCAGTTTGTTTAGAGTTGTAATTAATGATCTATTGATGTCACATTTTATATATATTTTAAGAGATGGTAAAACATCAACAATGGAATGACGTCGTCTCCAAATTTTACAACAATAAATGTTACTTAAATTTTTTGATTTTTCAGTTTTTTGAATTTATCGTTTCACGATTTCTAGAATTCTCGATTTTTGATTTTTTCAATTCGTCAATTTTTTTATTTTTTCGGTGTCTCAATTTTCCAATATTTCAGTTTCACAATTTTTCAGTTTTTCGATTGTTCCTTTTTTCGGTTTTTAAATTTTTCAATTTTTGGCGTTTCTAAATTTTTGATTTCTCAATTAATCGATTTTTTTAATTTTCGAATTTTTGACTTTTCGATTTGTCAGTTTTTTTAATTTCCCATTTCACGATTTGTCGTATTTCCGATTTTTTAGGTTCTCAGTTCAGTTTCTTAATTTATCAAAATTTTGATTTCTCGATTTTTCAATTTTTCGATTTCAATTTTCCATGATTTTTCAATTTCTCAATTCTTCGATTTTTCGATTTTTCAGTTTTTTGAATTTATCGTTTCACGCTTTCTGGAATTTTCGATTTTTGATTTTTTCAATTCGTCAATTTTTAAATTTTTTCGGTGTCTCTGTTTTCCAATTTTTCAATTTTTCGGTTTTTAAATTTTTAAATTTTTGGCGTTTCTAAATTTTCGAGTTTTCAATGAACCGATTTTTGGAATTTTCGAGTATTCGATTTGTCAGTTTTTTAATTTCCCATTTCACGATTTGTCGTATTTTCGATTTTTTAGGTTTCCAGTTCAGTTCCTTAGTTTATCAAAATTTTGATTTCCCGATTTTTCAATTTTTCGATTTTTTAGGTTTGCAATTTTTGAATTTTCCATGATTTTTTAATTTCTCAATTCTTCGACTTTTCGATTGCTCAGTTTTTTGAATTTATCGTTTCACGATTTCTAGAATTCTCGATTTTGGATTTTTTCAATTCGCCATTTTTTTAATTTTTTCGGTGTCTCAATTTTCCAATATTTCAGTTTCACAATTTTTCAGTTTTTCAATTGTTCCTTTTTTCGGTTTTTACATTTTTCAATTTTTGGCGTTTTTAAATTTTCGATTTCTCAATTAATCGATTTTTTGAATTTTCGAATTTTTGACTTTTCGATTTGTCAGTTTTTTTAATTTCCCATTTCACGTTTTATCATATTTCCGATTTTTTAGGTTCTCAGTTCAGTTTCTTAATTTATCAAAATTTTGATTTCTCGATTTTTCAATTTTTCGATTTTTCGATTTTCCATGATTTTTCAATTTCTCAATTCTTCGATTTTTCAGTTTTTTAAACTTATCGTTTCACGCTTTCTGGAATTTTCGATTTTTGATTTTTTCAATTCGTCAATTTTTAAATTTTTTCGGTGTCTCTGTTTTCCAATTTTTCAATTTTTCGGTTTTTAAATTTTTCAATTTTTGGCGTTTCTAAATTTTCGAGTTTTCAATCAACCGATTTTTGGAATTTTCGAGTTTTCGATTTGTCAGTTTTTTAATTTCCCATTTCACGATTTGTCGTATTTTCGATTTTTTAGCTTTCCAGTTCAGTTCCTTAGTTTATCAAAATTTTGCTTTCCCGATTTTTCAATTTTTCGATTTTTTAGGTATGCAATTTTTCAATTTTCCATGATTTTTTAATTTCTCAATTCTTCGACTTTTCGGTTGCTCAATTTTTTGAATTTATCGTTTCACGATTTCTCGAATTTTCGATTTTTGATTTTTTCAATTTGTCAATTTTTTAATTTTTTCGGTGTCTCAATTTTCCAATATTTCAGTTTCACAATTTTTCAGGTTTTCAATTGTTCCTTTTTTCGGTTTTTAAATTTTTCAATTTTTGGCGTTTTTAAATTTTCGATTTCTCAATTAATCGATTTTTTGAATTTTCGAATTTTTGACGTTTCGATTTGTCAGTTTTTTTAATTTCCCATTTCATGGTTTATCGTATTTTCGATTTTTTAGGTTCTCAGTTCAGTTTCTTATTTTATCAAAATTTTGATTTCCCGATTTTTCAATTCTTCGATTTTTTCGTTTTGGATTTTTCAATTTTCCATGATTTTTCAATTTCTCAATTCTTCGACTTTTCGATTTTTCAGTTTTTTGAATTTATCCTATCACAATTTCTCGAATTTTCGATTTTTGATTTTTTCACTTCGTCAATTTTTCAATTTTTTTCATTCTTCTGGTGTCTCAATTTTCCAATATTTCAGTTTTCTACTTTTGCATTTTTCGGTATTTAAATTTTTCAATTTTTGGCGTTTCTGAATTTTCGATTTCTCAATCAATCGATTTTTTGAATTGTCGAATTTTCGATTTTTTACTTTTTTGAATTTCCCATTTCACGATGTTTTGTCGTATTTTCGATTTTTTAGGTTTTCAGTTGTTTCTTAAATTATTAAAATTTTGATTTCCCGATTTTTCAATTTTTCGATTTTTTAGGTTTTCGATTTTTCATTTTTCCATGATTTTTCAATTTCTCAATTCTTCGACTTTTCGATGTTTCAGTTTTTTTGAATTTATCGTTTCACGATTTCTCGAACTTTCGATTTTTGATTTTTTCATTTCGTCAATTTTTTCATTTTTTCGCTGTCTCAATTTTCCAATATTTCAGTTTTCCAATTTTCCATTTTTCGGTATTTAAATTTTTCAATTTTTGGCATTTCTAAATTTTCGATTTCTCAATCAATCGATTTTTTGAATTTTCCAATTTTCGATTTGTCAGGTTTTTGATTTCCCATTTCACGATTTGTCGTATTTTCGATGTTTTCACTTCTCGATTTCTCGGTTTCCCAATTTTCCGATTTTTGAGGTTTTCAGTTCAGTTTCTCAATTTATCAATTTTTTGATTCCCGATTTTTCGATTTTTTTTAGGTTTTCGCTTTTTCAATTTTTCGTGATTTTTCGATTTCTTGATTCTTGGACTTTTCGATTTTTCAGTTTTTTGAATTTATCGTTTCAGGATTTCTCAATTTTTGATTTTTTCAATTCTTCAATTTTTTGAATTTGTAATTTTCCAGTGTCTCAATTTTCGAATATTCCAGTTTTAACAATTTTTCAATTTTTCGGTTTTTAAATTTTTCAATTTTTGGCGTTCTTAAACTTTCGATCTCTTGATCCATCGATTTTTTGAATTTTTGACCTTTCGATTTGTCAGTTTTTTTAATTTCCCATTTCACAATTTGTTTCTCGACTTCTCGTTTTCCCGATTTTCGAATTTTTCAGGTTTTCAGTTCAGTTCTCAGTTTTTCAAATTTTTGATTTCTCGATTTTTTAATTTTTCATGATTTTTCGGTTTCCCGATTCTTAGATTTTTCGATTTTTCAAATTTTTGAATTTATCGTTCAACGATTTCTCGAATTTTCGATTTTTGATTTTTTCAATTCTTCAATTTCTCGATTTTTTAAATTTTCGGTTTTCAAACTTGTAAGATTTTTCGACTTTTTGATTTTTCACTTTTTAGATTTCTCAATTTTTGAAATTTTCAATATGTATATATACGTATTTATATATACATATTTATACTTCAATTTTTTTTGATTTATCGATTTTTCAATTTTTTGATGTTTCGATTTCTAGATTTTTCAATTCTTTTATTCTTTAGGTCTTCTAGTTTTCGACTTTTCTATTTTTCGATTTCTCAACTTTTTACATTTTCGATTCTTCACTTTTTCGATATTTTAATATTTCCATTTCATAAATTTTAGATTTTTCAATTTCTTTTGATGGTTTGATTTCTCGATTTTTCGTCTTCCCGATTTTCTGATTTTTCAGGTTTTCAGTTTAGTTTTTCAAATTTTTGATTTTTCAATTTTTTGAATTTATCGTTTCACGATTTCCCGAATTTTCGACTTTCGTTTTTCAATTCTTCAATTTTTTTATTTTTCAGGTCTATTTTCTCAATTTTTAGATTTTTCCACTTTTAGGTTTTTCGACTTTTCGATGTTTTAGGTTTCAGATTTTGCAATTTTTCGATATTTCAGTTTTGGAATTTTTCAATATTTGGATTTTTAAATTTTTCGATTTTTCGACTTATCGATTTCTGGAGTTTTTACTTTTTCAATTTTTTTGTGTTTCGATTTACCGGATTTTTCAATTTTTCGATATTCTAATATGTATTTCGATTTCTTAAATTTTTTGATCCTTTGATTTCTTGATTTTCGACTTTTTCGATTTTAGTTATTCCGTTTTATATTTTTCGATTTCTCGATTCCCGGTTTTTCTGTTTTTCATTTTTTCAATTTTTTGATTAGATTATTCACTTTTTCTATGTTCATTTTTCAGTTTCTATTTTTTAGAATTTCCAATTTTTCATTTTTTAAATTTTTCAATTCTTCGCGATTTATCGACTTTAGACTATTTCGATTTCTCTATTTTTCAATTTCTCTCAATCTTTTCATGTTTCCATTTGTTGATGTTTCAATTTTTCAGTTTTCCGATTTTTCGTTCTTTAAGTTTTCAATTCTTAAATTTTTCGGTTTTGGCCTTCCTAAATTTTTGATTTTTCATTTTCACAATTTTTCAGTTTTTTTAATTTGTCATTACACGATTTCTCAATTGTTCATTTTTTCAATTTTTCAAGTTTTTATTTTCTTAGTTTTTCGATTTCTCAATTTTTCGATGTTTGAGTTTCGGGATTTTTCAATTTTTGGATTTTTTGATTTACTAACTTATCCATTTTTCGATATTTCAGTTTTGGAATTTTTCAATATTTAGATTTTTCAATGTTTCGTTTTTCAACTTTTCCATTTCTCGAATTTTTTTAATTTTAGATTTTTCGATTGTTTATTTTTCAGTTTTTTTGTGCTTCGATTTTTCAATTATTCGTTTCATCAGTTCTTCTATTTTTCAAATTCTCGATTTTTATTTTTTCGATTCTTCAATTTCTCGATCTTTTCTTATTTCCATTTCTCGATGTTTCAAATTTTTGTGGTTTTCATTTTTCGAGATCTCGATTTCTCGGTTTTTGATGTTTCGGTTATTCACTTTTTCCCATTTTTTTGACATTTCTCTTTTTTCTTGATTTTTCAGTATTTCGATTTTTCAATTTTTTGGTTTTTTAAATTTTATATTTTTCGATTTTTGACGTTTTTAGAATTCTCTGTTGATTATTAAATCTTTTTTCTTCGCAAATGAAGCCATTTCTCAGTTTTTTGAAGAGATATCGCTAAAAGGATTTTACGGTTCAAAAAAAATTTTGGAAAATTCTCACCAGCATAATTCTCCATAAATTATCCATTTTTCTGTTTGAAAAGATCTATTTTAATGTTCAAAAAATTTTTGAAAAGGTTTTTCTTGCATTATTTGCTTAGTTTAAGACATTCCTCAAGAGTTTTTAATTTTTTGGATTTTTTTTCTCAGCATTATTGGCTTAAATATTTAAACTATCTATTCAAACGAAAAAAACCTAGTTTATAAAATTAAATTATTTCTCATTTTAGATGTTTTGGTTTACAAATATTAAAAACGAGAATACTGTTTCTCACGCAGATGCTGGTAATTCTTCGGAATTGTTAATATTTAATAAAACCAATCACTGCGTATACAAATGCCTTTATTAAAATCCTTACAGATCACTCCATTACAAAACGAAAATTGAAAACCTACTTTTCCTCCCCAAACTCCTCAATTATTCCTAATCCCAAGCGCTTGTTCCAACTCGGCCCTCTTCTGCTGCACCTTAGTATAAAAATACCTACACACAGCCTCCTGCGCCCACGGCTGATAAAAGAAATCAGAACGCCGTTCCTCCTCAGGATTACCAACCACATCAGTCATACACTGCAACCAAACATCAATAAAATCCCCCATCTACCACACCTTCTTACCTTCAAATCTCTAGTCTGCGACACAATCCACTTATAAATAAACTGCTGCGGATCCTTCGCAAAACTCAAAAAGAACTCTCTATTAGTCTTAAGTTGATTGATAGTGTCCACAGTTTCATGAATCTTAGCATCAAGACCTTGAATCTCCTGCTGACTGGCAGTACTCAGCAAAAAGTTATTCATTTGCGTTTTAAGAGTGTCGTCCACCTCGACGTCGATATCATAGCACGCTGTCTGCTTGCTCTCGGCGCCCCCTTCCACCGAAATCACGTGATTGATGACAATGGGGTCTGGAGGGTGCAAGAGCGGGTTGAGTCGCTGCGGAATTTCGGCGAACTTCATTCTAGGACAGCCGAAGATTTGTTCTAGGTACTTGTCGCAGACGATGTACTCGCGTTCGTGGGCGTCCTGTAACCTAAAAACGAAAACAAAAAAAAACACCATGACTATCAAGCGTGTTATAAAAAAATACCTGTGTGTCTTAATATACTGCCACAAGGCTGAAATAATCACAGGTCTTGTCTGTGTGTGGACCCCCAACAGTCTAGCCAACCGAGGATCCAACTTAAATTGCAGGGGTTGGTAGTCCAGAAGTAGCAAAATCGTGCAGCGGACGTTTTTATCCCCGGGTCTCTTCACCTGGAAGCCGTCGGTTTCCTGGGTGGTGAGGGTGCGGTGCCACTCCACTAGGTGGTTATCGGGACCATACAACTCCTTATCCAGTTCAATCACCAACGACTTGAAAAAGGAGGAGAATTTTCTCTTGACTTTGTTGGGGTCGCTCTTGGAGTCGTCCAGAAGACGCCCTTCGACTCGTAACTCCCACGACGCCACCGAGCCCTCCTGTCCAGGACCGTCAGGTCCATCTGCGCATGCCTCCTTCGCCGGATAAAACGTATTCGAGATGAAAATTCGCAGTTTCCGCTTTTGTTTCATAGGTCGTTTTAGCGCTTCTTGGATGTCCAGGCGCTTGCGCATGATCGTGGAATCTAGTTTTCTTTCGAAAGCCAGCAAGTCCATGTAGGCTTGGCTTTCCGGGACTAAATCGCGCACTTTCTGGGGGAGGATTTTGTCGCTGAGTTTCTTCTTTTTTTTACTGGTGCCGTGGGGGTAATCGCTTTAATTTAAATAAATTCGTTATACCGCGTGTCTGGAAAATGGCGGCTTAACTCTTCGGTACATGTGTGTTTCGGGAGTCCCAAAAAATAATAAAAAAATTCTTGCACTAAACAGAAATAAAATATCTTAATAAATAATTGAGTAAACGGGGGCAGAATATTTAAAATTTGTGGTCAAACAAACTTTAGCCATTTTTCTCACTCAAATCTATACCACATCCTTTTTATTAAAGATTAAAAGATTTTATTTGTTTACGACACATTTACACGTAGCCAATAAGATATTTTGAAATCTCCCACCAAAGCAAATTTTTGTTTAAAAGTTGTTGCAGTTGGTATCGAACTTTTATTTGTAGCTAAAGTGGAATGAAATTAAGCGCAAAAATCGGCTTTTCAATTTTTGGTAATATAAGACAATTTAAGACAAAACGCCATGCCTTAGCTGACTCCGCCCACCCACCTTTTATTTTCTTAGAGAGATCTCATTTGCCAAAATCAGTTTTTCTTAGCAGGTACTAGCCCCGCCCACCCACCCTCTCTTTTTTAAGAAAATATGTCATTGTCAAAATCAGTTTTATATTAGCAAGTACTAATGACTAACTTTTACAAAAAAATAATCAAAATTTAGGAACAAATTCCTCTCTTGTGCATATTGATTTTTCATTTTTTTGAATTTTTAATTTTTCGATTTTTCGACTTTTCTTTAGTTGACTTCGATTTGTCGATTTTTCGACTTTTCGGTTTATCGATTTTTCGATGTTGCAGTTTTTCAATTTCTCCAATTTTCAGATTTTTTGTTTCAATTGTTTAATTTTTCGAGTTTTCTATTTTTGACTTTTCGATTTTTCAGCTTTTCGGTTTCTCAATTTTTCGACTTTTAAATTTTTTGATTTCTCAATTTTTTAATTTTTCCATTTTTTATTTTAGCTTTTTCGATGTTTCACTCTTTGAATATTTCTGTTTTTCAGTTTTTCCAATTTTTAAGTTTTCGATTTCCGGTTTCTCGATTTTTCAGGTTTTTAACTTTTCGACCTTTCGATTTTACATTTTTCAGTTATTCAGATTTTTGATTTTTCAACTTTTCGATTTCTCGATTTTTCCATTTTTTTTTTATTTAATTGTCCGATTTTTCCATTTTTGAGTATTTTGAATTTTTTAATTTCAGATTTTTCAAGTTTTTGATGCATCGATTTCTCGATGTTTCGACTTATCAATTTCTTTATATTTGACATTTTTCAATTTTTAATTTTTCGTTTGGGCCATTTCGATTTCTCGTGTTCTCAATCTTTGATTTTTCGATTTCTCGACGTTTCAATGTTACATTTTTCAATTACATATTCAAATTTTTAATTTTTCAATTTTAGGCTTCTAAATTCTCAATTTTTCGAGTTTTCTGTTATTGACATTTCGATTTCTTGATTTTTTTAACTTTTCTATTTTTCGATTTTGCGATTTTTCCATCTTTTTTTATAAATGGATGATTTTTAAATTTTTTGTTTTTTGAATTTTTTAATTATAGATTTTTCAACTTTTTGATGTTTCGATTTCTCGATATTTCGATTTTTGAATTTTCGACTTCTCGGTTTTAGATTTTTCAGTTTTTCAATTTTTTGATGTTTCAATTTCTCGATTTTTTCTTTTTTCTATTTTTCAATTGTCCGATTTATCAATTTCTCGTGTTCGCAATCTTTTCATATCTCGGTTTTTCGATTATTCGGCTTTCCGATTTTTAGATTTTTCAATTTTCCCATTGTTGGAAGTTTAGATTTTTCAATTTTTCGACATTTCAGTTTTGGGATTTTTCAGTTCTTAGATTTTTCTATTTTTAAATTTTTTAACATGTACATACTTCAGTTTCGCGACTCTTCAGTTTCAAACTTTTGGGTTGAAATTTTTTTCAATTTCTCCATTTCAGCTTTTCGATTTCTTAAATTTTACATTTTTCGATTTTACGATTTTTTGATGTTTCATTTTCCCGATCTTTCGATTTTTGAATTTTCGACTTTCCGGTTTTAGATATTTCAGTTTTTCATTTTTTTTATTTCTCGATTTTTTGATGTTTCGATTTTTCGATTGTTTAATTTTCCCAATTTTTTGATTTATCGATTTCTTTATGTTTGACCATTTTTCAATTTTTAATTTTTCATTTGAGCAAATTCGAATTCTCGTGTTCTCAATCTTTTCATTTCTCAATCTTTTCATTTCTCGGTTTTTCGATTATTCGGATTTTCGGCTTTAGATTTTTCAATTTTCCAATTTTTCGATGTTTCGTTTTTTCAATTATCATTCGACCCACCCTTTATTTTCTTAGAGAGATCTCATTTGCCAAAATCAGTCTTTCTTAGCAGGTACTAGCCCCGCCCACCCACCCTCTCTTTTTTTAGAAAGTCTGTCATTGTCAAAATCAGTTTTATATTAGCAAGTACTAATGACTAACTTTTACAAAAAATAATCAAAATTTAGGAACAAATTCCTCTTGTGCATATAAGTAACCTCGTAATGTTTCCAAATTTTTATCATTTTCTGTAAAAGTTAGTAATCAGTGCTTGGTAAGATAAAACTGATTTTGGCAAATGACATACCCTGTAAGAAAAGAGAGGGTGGGTGGGCGGGGTTAGTAGCTGTCAAGGTAAGACTGATTTTGGCAAATGACATACCCTGTAAGAAAAGAGAGGGTGGGTGGGCGGGGTTAGTAGCTGTCAAGATAAGACTGATTTTGGCAAATGAGATACCCTCTAAAAGAGGAGAGGGCGGGTGGGTGGGGCTACTACTTGCTAAGATAAGACTGATTTTAGCAATGACTTATCCTCCAAGAAATTTAATTAAATTATTATAATAAAAGACACTAGAACCCCCAAAGCACTTTGAAATTCTTTCCAAATAGCTAGAACCTCAAAATTGTTTTAAATTTTTCAAAAAGAAATTGGCGTTCCAAAATTAGCTCAAAAATGTCAGGTCAGAATTTTTCAAAAATTGAACACAACATTTTTTATAAAAGTTAGTCATCAGTACTTGCTAAGGCATACCCTCTAAGAAAAGAGAGGGTGTGTGGGTGGGGCTAGTAATTGTCAAAATAAGACTGATTTTGGCAAATAAGATACCCTCTAAGAGAAGAGAGGGTGGGTGGGCGGGGCTAGTGGCTGTCAAAATAAAACTGATTTTGGCAGATGTGATACCCTCTAAGAAAAGAGAGGGTGGGTGGGTGGGCCTAGTGCTTGCAAAGATAAGACTGATATTGGCAAATGACCTACCCTCTAAGAAAATGAAGAGTAGAGGGTATCATTTGCCAAAATCAGTCTTATCATGGCAAGTATTGGCCCCGCCCACCCACCCGTTATTTTCTCCTTGGGTATGCCATTTGCCAAAATCAGTCTTATTTTGGCAAGTACTAGCCCCACCCACCCACCCATTATATTCTTAGAGGGTTGGTTTTTTGGCAATATCAGCCTTATCTTGGCAAGCACTAGCCTCGCCCACCTGCCCTTTATTTTCTTAGAATGCTAGTACCTGCTAAGATAAGACTGATTTTGGCAAATGACATATCCTCTAAGAAAAGAGAGGGTGGGTGGGCGGGGCTAGTATCTGCTAAAATAAGAGCGATTTTGGCAAATAACATACTCAAGAAGAAACTAACGGGTGGGTGGGCGGGGCCAGTACTTGCCATGATAAGACTGATTTTGGCAAATGATACACCCTCTACTCTTCATTTTCTTAGAGGGTAGGTCATTTGCCAATATCAGTCTATCTTAGTAGGTGCTAGCCCCACCCACCCACCCTGTCTTATATATGGCACTTAACATATCCTCAGAGGATATGTTAAGTGCCAAAATCAGTTTTATCGTGGCAATTACAAGGCCCGCCCACCCACCCTCTCTTTTCTTAGAGGGTATGTCATTGCCAAAATCAGTTTTATCTTAGCAAGTACTGATGCCTAACTTTTATAAAAAAATGATAAGAAATATCGACTTTAAATGTTTTTTCCTGGTTCCGTTTCGGACTTGGTTAAATATCTATTGATCCAGGAATATTTTTTAGATCGAGATACCCAGAAGAATTTAATGTTTTACGAAAACGCGAGACGAAGTCGAGAGTTGCTGTTCAAAGCAGAAGCAAATGTTGTAAAAATATTGATACTAACTGTAAATATAATTATTTAATAAGCCGTAAAAACTTCGGGGGATCGAAATTAACAAAAGAATTTCCTTTGTTAAATTTTGGAAGTATGTGCTCGAACAAATAATGTATTAAAAATGGAGATCTTCCCAAAGTTACTTAAAACTTTTCGAAAAATTCTATAAGGTAGATTTCGACAAGTTTAATCCAAAAAGTTGAGATATTGATGGCTCCGGTTACAAGATTGATGGCCCAGCATCCAAAATCCGGGAGCAACCGTGCCATTTTTTTTAAGGATTTAGCATATCTTATAAGAAATTTAATTAAATTACTACCTGAAAAGACACTAGAGGCTCCAAAGCACTTTTAAATTCTTTCCAAGCAGGAATACCTAGACCCTCAAGATTGTTTTAAATTTTCCAAAAAAAAAGTGCCAAAATTAACTCAAAAACAGTTCAGGTCAGAATTTTCCAAAAATGGAACACCAAAGTCCCCTAAAATTGTTTTAAATAGTTTACAAAAAAAATCTCCATGGGCTCCCAAAATAATCCACCATGGGTACCCAAGAGTCTTCTGACTTAAAAAAACAAAATTTCAGTTTCATCTTAGCAAGTACTGATGACTAAATTTTACAAAAAATACACACAAGGCAGGAATTTTGAACATGTTCTCTAGTGTTTAGTTAAAATTACCTGCGGACGCGAATCTTTTAACCTATAGATTTGAGTGACCCAGAAAAGTGGCTAAAGTTTGTTTGACCACAAAGTTTAAATATTTTGCACTCAATTTTTATTAAGATATTTTATTTCTGTACAGCGCAATGGATTTTTTAATACAATTTCTATTAATGTACCTTTTTGAAAATTTAAAATTGAGCCACAAATAGCGAAAACCAGATAATCTAATACTCATCACAATTTTAAAGCGGTGTAGTTTTTTTTTTGACAACAAAATTTAAAAAACGGAAAAGCAGTCTGGAAAGGGTTTTTTACGCTCATTTCAACAGTGTGAGGTTTATTACAATCGGACGTATACTTTTGGAAAAAACTTTGGCAGAAGTTTATAAGTATGTATTTCCCTATGCTGGAATATGCTTTTTGCAATTTTAAAATCATTATTACTCTACCAAAAGGTGAGGATTTGTTAACAACGTAGCGGAGAGTTAATCCGGCGATTTTCCAGACACCCAGTATACAGATAAATCTAATACAATCGTTACCTTTTTTGCTGCATTACGGTCCTGGTGTCCACCGGTCGCTTAACTCCCGGCTGGGGCTGCATCGGCCCTCCGCGCATAGGCGAATAAGGGGCTTGCGGCGGCCGCGCTATCATTGCGCCCCCACTAGCCCCCATGTTCGGGGGCGGCGTGTTGTAACCAGTACGTTGCTGCAGTCACAGCATAAATACTCGCACACAATATACAGGGGGCTAACTCACCGGAAAACTCTGACTCGCGTACTGACGCATCCCCGGGTTCTGAGGCGGAGGATAGCGCTGCTGAGGGGGGCCCCCGGGGCCCTGAGTGGGCACCGGGACCGGAAAACGTTGAGCCATTATTCACTTTGACTAAATATCAGCTAAAACATGAACTAATACAGAGGTTAAGAGTAATTCTCTTGGAATCAAGTAAACTGTTAAAATGTCAACACTGAAACGTCAAACGTACGATTATGGAGTTCTAGCTAGGGTGTTTGGATTTATGTGTTGGTAGCGAGTGTTACGTCACTTCTTCACTAGTCAATATTTTCAGGCGCGAAATTTAAAAATGTGTCTCTTGTGATGGGTTTCTACTTAAAAGGACTGTTTCAATTTAATCGTATGTTAGTCCAACGTAATTAAAAAGCACGATAAATTTGTATTAGTTTATTAGAATATAATTTCCATCATTTAAATAAATAAATTGCATTATTGACTCAAGCATCCACTATGAAATATGTCGTTACACAACTACTACAAATTGCTGTACCAAAAAATGTTGAATTGTCGAGCGTTTCACTAAACAATTGTCTACAGTCAACAAAAACAGTCACAAAAATAAATAGGACAGTGACAAAAAATACAAATAAATGCAACAAACATGTTTTAATTACAAATTGTGCACTAAAAATTCAGTATAGAAAGCAAAGGCGTCTGAAATGAAAATCACAATATATAATCAGTACTATGAAGGAAGAATAAAAACTTGCTACTAAAGTATCACAAAAAATGAATTAGACTCCTCCCGCTTTCGGGAAGATTATTATTATTACGACAGAGTGACTACTTAAACTTGCACCCGTCAAGTTAGCCCTCCGTGTTGCACCATCATAAATAACACAGAAATAAAATTGCTTTAAAAAAATATATAATAGGGTTAACCATTCACTACATCAAGCAATAGTCGTAAACAATTTTATACAAAAAAAAAATTATACAGATTCACATAAAGAATAATTTAATATGATTAATACATCAGGCTATACAGTTATTCCTCTGTTAAAAAATCCTGGTGTAAATAAAATTTCACTATTTTTTTTATTCACTAACTAAAATGTGCTACTTAACTCTAAAGTGCCGTCTTTAACGTCAACAATGAGAAATTTATTAGAACCGTCTTACTGCGGGAAAAAAACCGTGATCAGAAATGCTGCTCTACAAAAATAGAAATAATGCCACCTCTATATTACAAGACACATTGTTTAAACGACCAGATTAAGCCATAGCCTGAAAGTACAAATTACTGAATCATAACATCCACCTGATTATTATAATGCAGCGACATAGCTCGAAACTGTGATAATTTAGACGAACAAATTATTTCTTAGCATTGCACTATCAACAAAATTACTCCAAAACCGGCCTAAGAAATAATTTGCCAATTACACTTTACTTATATAGTTTATTATCTTAAAACTTTTTAAGTGCACCTTATTCTATAATAACTAAGCAAGTAAGCACATAAATGTAAGTGTTGCTACACATCGTCGCTGCACCGGCAGCCCTCTATGTACCAAACTTACACGGGTAGTTGATATTAAGTTGTGTCAGCAATATTTTTGGTATCCTTTCTCTCTTTAACTTGTCTAAAGCACCTTTTAGCCCGACAGTTAAGTTTTTCTGAAAATAAAAAAATTACGATTATATTTACGAAATGGTAATTAACTTACATGCGTCTTTCTCGTTTATAATTAGTGATTCGCGTTTTCGTGCAATCTCCACAGTTTTCGGTGTACCCATATTAGGTCCAGTACGGATAGCACCACCACCACCAACGACAACATGATGTTGACCAGACCGTATTGGTTTCGCAATGGTAGCAGCTGGCCCGCGCCTGGCGAGATTCTTTTGTCTAACTGCCTCCTTAATTCGATCAACTTCGTATTGGTATCTAAAAAAAAAACACTTTCACGTAGGCAGCCCAAAGCCGGCATCATCGGTCCAACGAAATTTCGTTTTCCACCATACCAACCTTTTGCGATCGCGCATAGCGCCCTCTTTTGCTTCCTTAAGTGCGGTTTCGAGCGCTTTGACGCGCTCCATCGTCGCGCGCAGGCGCTTCTCCAACTTGGGCAGTTCGCAGCGCAGGTCGGCGTTATCCCGAACTAGCTGCTTGTGGACTTTGGTCAGCTGGTCGAGGTTATTTTCCAGGAACGAGATCTTCTGCTTCTGGGCGAGCGAGCCGCCGTCCTCCTCGTTGTCCTCAGCGGAGAGGTTCTTCTTCATGCGGGCCTGCACACCAAAACCGTGAGCCGCAAACCCGGATAATCACAACGATTTTTACCTGGAGGTCCTGGACGAAGAGTTTGCGGAGATTGTGCAAAGTCTGCAGCTCCTTGGCCACCGTGTCTTCGAGCCCGCGCAGGTCTTTCCGGGCTTGTTCTCGTCGCTCGTTGGTGGTGCTGCAGAATACATCCAGCGTCAGCATCAAGCCACACCACGCTCACGGAATGTTTGGTCAGGTTTCGTTTTATTTTTCACGGCAACCAAAAATATTACTAACGGCTACCAACATCGAGTTATTGCATAGCTTACTCGCAACAGAAACACACATCTGTTAAAAATAGTCAACAAGTTTTCATTGCTTGTAAGGGAGCTGGGGTCAAATTATCGACTATCACTCAATTTAAAAATAATTGCGTTTAAAATATGCAACATCTTTTATACAGGTTTCTTACACATCGTATTTACATTTTTACATGTTCGACGAGAAATCAAAGACCACTTAGTCAAAAGTTTGAGCTCGAACAACGCCATTTCAAAAAACTGTGATTTAAGATCGCGAAATCGTGACCACGAGCGGCTACTTTGTCGACAAAGTTGCACCTCGTCATGCACCATTTACGTTCATACATCAAACTAAATACGACTTTCTTCGCTCGAAACGAATTAAAATAGCATGCTCCAACAATTTCACATCTACACTTGTTTTTACGAGGTTTTTTTCATTTTTAATTTCAACCAACATCTACGGATCTAGTTAACTACACGTAATATATTTATCTTTGTTCCTATTAACGACGACAAAATATTTTTCACTTTGTTGTACTACAAATGTGTCAAAATGTTAAAATAAAAATAACTACCATAACTTTTCAGTTTGTGTTGTGCCATCTTTCCACACATTTTTTGTTTTTTTTTTATTTCATAATTTTTTCTTCATAGTATATATTTTTGTACAACATTAATATCGCGTACACGACAAAATAATAAGCAAGAATAAAGATATTGTCCTGTGTTTTAGTCGGGTTTGGATTTTGATCTAAATCACAGCCCTTGGTAACAAAAACCTTTTAGTAAATGGCCTTGTAAAACAAAAAATATAGGGAGTTAATACTGTGCTCGTTTTAAGTATACACTGGCCACTGGCTGGCAGTGCTCGAGTTAGTTGTTACACGTGAATTTGTAAAATAAAACTCAACCAAACAGTGGCGTGATGTGACAATGCCAAAAAAAATTAAAGCTAAGTAAGTATTCATAAAAAAAATCACAGGAAAGATAACTCTTACTATAAGGAAAGGACTGAACCGTTAAATGCACCAAATTCAACTCTATATATCACAAAAGAAATCACCTGAGTCGAGACTAGAATCTAAAAAACGAAAAATAAAACGCGTAACGCTTATACGACGACTAGATACTGAGGACACCTGTGAGTGACCAATAACAACGTCAACGATATGAATAAATGCAAGTGGAATGTATGTATATGAAAAATCGACATTGAACACTGACCGTTTTTTGATAATTTCGTTAAATTATTAATAGCGTCTTTAGCAAATTTCGGATTGCTTTTAGGCACTGAACTGTTTATTTCGTTTTTGTAAGGCATGAAATCCTCCCAAGCCGGCGGCGACTTGGGCTGTTTGAGATGGGAAGGACTGGGCTGTAGGTTGATTTTGGATCTGTTATTATCGGAACATGGGAATGAGCGTTTATAATTTAAATTGTCTACTGACATGAGCTCCTGAAGCTTCTGTGACTTTTCGGATTCTTCCGTTTTAACCTTCTCGTATTCGGACTGTAGTTGTTGTTGGGCAAGTGACAATTTCTGATTTGAACTGGAAAAAAACAACGTCCATAAAAATTAACAATGAACATCGTCACGTACTCTTTAATATCGTTTATCAGTTGTTGCTTTTCGGCTATTTCGTCTCGTAGAGCGGCGACCTGTTTCTGGTGAGCAACTCGCAATTGGTCCATTTGTTGTTCTAGGGCAAGTCTCAGCTCGTTGGCTTCCTTCTTTTCGCTCTCGCTGGCGCTAGACACCTGCGAATACCACATATCGCGTTAATACTGCTTTTTAATTATTCCGACATCATTATCCATTCACGATCTTTATATAGTAGTAGTAATAAACTGATTTGATCATATATACTATTTGCCATTTCTATTGAAACACCACCTGTTGATTTTGCCTAAAATTTAGCAATTGCTAACAGTTTTCGGTTGATTGACAACGGCTTTTAGTTAGAAAATTGTCCAAATATGAACGTTGCCAAATTTACGATCAACAAGTGGTGTTACAATAGAAATGAGACTATAGTTTTTTGTCTGTCAGTAGTCTGATTGACATTTGCTTTGAGCTGGATTGCCACTTTTCTACATCATTTATTAGATGAGAATTATTAGACGCAATTTTTTAATCAAGCAAACAAATGTTTTAATTTTGTCGACATTTACATTGCTGTTACAACGTACACTTTGTAGTGCGAAAAAATTAAAATAGAGGTATCTACAACGAACCTTTCTTAACAGATTGCATCAATACGTTTCTTAATAAGTGTTATACAATTCATATACAGCGTCAGTTAAGTAAACGCTGCAGATGAAGAAATTGCTTCAAGTTTTCAGATTATGCAGGGTAAAATACCGACCCTGACAAAAGAGACTTCAAATTTTACTCGTTTTGTATAACTCTCCAAATTTCGATTCTTTCGTCATTTTGTCAAAATAGAAATTATTGATGGAATTAAAAAAAATCAGCATAACACATTCAAAATTATTCGAAAGCTATCGGTGTTTTATTTTTGATCCTCAATATAAATTGTTGAATTATAAAAATTGGTCTAAAGTTATTTAGACAGCACTTTCCTCGCTCTTGAAGTCCGGTTTAAGATATTCAGTTTTGTCAGATAATTGTAAGATTCGATTTAGAGATTTTTTGCTCATAACGCAGCGTATGCAGAAATCCATTTTATAACACAATTTTTGGTTTCTTTATTTCCTTTATTTTTTTGTTGTTTCTTTCGATTTACAATTCTTTATTTATTCAATTTTTCAAATTTTCAGGCGGTCATTTTTCAATTTCATGATTTTCAACGTTCAAAATTTTTCAATTTGCAGTTTTTGGATTTCCAGTCTTCCGATTCTCCAATTTCTTTAATTTAAAATATTTCTATTTAATAATACATTTTTTTTGATTTTTCACTTTTTCAATTCTTAAGATTTTTCAGGTTTTCATTTTGTAATTTTTCGTTTTTTATTTTTGATTTTTCAATTTTATAATTTCTCTACTTCCAAAATTTGGCAATTTTTCAATATTACAGATTTTCAGTTTCTCAATTTTTCGTTTTTCCCTTTTCCAATGTTTTGTTTCCGATTTTTATTTTTCATTTTCCCGATTTTTTAATTTTCACTTTTTCGATTTTACAATTTTTTCCTTTATTAAATTTTTCAAATTTTCACGTTTTTAGCAATTTTTCTTCAAATTTTCAAGTTTGATTTTAACTTTGTACTTTGTTATATTATACACTTTTCCGTTTTTTTATTTTTGATTTTTCAATTTTTCAATATTACAATTTCTCATTTTTCCATTTTCCACATTCTCGATTTTTAATTGTGCCCTTTTTCAATTTTCCGTCCCCTCAATTTTTCAACTCCCCGATTTTTATTTTGCATTTTCCTGATTTTTTATTTTTCATTTTCTCGATTCTATATCACATTTTTTTCTTTTTTCATTTCCTTAATTTTTGTTTATTTTGTTGTTTCTTTCGATTTTTCAATTTTTCGTGTATTCAATTTTTCAAATTTTCAGGCCAATCGATTAGAATTCGTCGATTTTCCAATTTCAAATTTTTTCAGTTTGCAGTTTTTGGGTTTCCACCCCTTTTCCACTTTTTGGATTTTCAATTTTTCGTTAAACTTTAGATTTCTCAAATTTTCGATGTTCTAATTTTTCTTTTTTAAAATTTTTCAGATATTTGGATGTTTTGATTGCTCAATTTCTCAATTTTTTTCTATTTCTCGATGTTTCGATTTTTCAGTTTTTCGATTTTGAGTTTTAGATTTTCGAATTTTTCTTTTTTGATTCTTTGATGTTTGGATTTCTCCATTTTTCAATTTTGCGATATTTCAATTGTTCAATGTTTTAAATTTTAGATTTTTCGATTTATGGATTTTTATATTTCCCAGTTCTTCAGTATTTCTATTTTACAATCTTTCAAATTTTGACGTTGCTAAATTTTCAGTTTTCCGATTTTTCGATTAATATATACATATTTTTTATTTTACCGTTTCTCGAATTCGCAGTTTCGACTTTTCAGTTCTTCAGTTTTTCGTTTTTTAAACTTTAGATTTTTCAATTTTCGACTGTTTTATATATATGTACTTCGAATTGTGAATTTTTAGAGTTTTCAATTTTTTGAGAACTCGATTTATCGAGATTCGGATGATTCGATGTTTTGATTGTCCCAGTTTTTGAATTTTTCGATGTTTCGATTTTTCATTTTTTTACTTTTCGGTTTCCGATTTTTCAATTTTCCAATTTTTTAAATTTTCAAGTTTTGACGTTTCTAAATTTTCAGTTTTACGATTTCTCAATGAATCTATTTTTTGGTTTTCCTATTTTCGACTTGCGAAGGTTTCGATTTTTCAGTTTTTCAGTTCCTCAATTTTTCGATTCTTTAGGTTTGCAATTTTTCGATTTCCCAATTTTGTGAGTTTTCTCAGTTTTTCGATTCTTCATTTTTTCACGTTCTAGATTTTTCGATTTCTCGATTTTTTACTTTTTGGATTTTCAATTTTTCGTTCCTTCAATTTTTCAGTTTGCATCAGTTTTTCAATTTGGCAATTTTTCAATATTACAGATTTTCAGTTTTCGATTTTTCAGTTTCTCAATTTTTCGTTTTTCTCTTTTCCAATTTTTTGTTTCCGGTTTTTATTTTCATTTTCCCGATTTTTTAATTTTCACTTTTTCGATTTTATATTACAATTTTCCTTTTTTTTGATTTCCTTTATTTTTTGTTGTTTCTTTCGATTTTACAATTTTTCCTTTATCAAATTTTCCAATTTTTCAATATTACAATTTCTCATTTTTCCATTTTCTACATTCTCGATTTTTAGTTGTGCCCTTTTTCAATTTTCCGTCCCCTCAATTTTTCAACTCCCCGATTTTTATTTTGCAATTTCCTGATTTTTTATTTTTCATTTTCTCGATTCTATATCACATTTTTTTCTTTTTTCATTTCCTTAATTTTTGTTGTTTATTTCGATTTTCCAATTTTTCGTTTATTTTCAAATTTTCAGGCCAATCGATTCCAATTCGTCGATTTTCCAATTTTTAAATTTTTCAGTTTGCAGTTTTTGGGTTCCACCCCTTTTTACTTTTTGGATTTTCAATTTTTCGTTAAACCTTAGATTTCTCAAATTTTCGACAGTTTTATACTTCCATTTCTTAATTTTTTTTCAACTTTTCGATGTTTCAAATTTTCTTTTTTAAAATTTTTCATTTTTTTTTATTTCTCGATTTATCGAATTCAGATGTTTGGATGTTTTGATTGCTCAATTTTTCAATTTATCAATTTCTCATTTTTTTTCTATTTCTCGATGTTTCGATTTTTCAGTTATCCGATTTTTTAATTTTTTTATATTCTGGAGTTTCGATTTGTCGATTTTTCAGTTTTTCGATTTTGAGTTTTAGATTTTCGAATTTTTCTTTTTTGATTCTTTGATGTTTGGATTTCTCCATTTTTCAATTTTGCGATATTTCAATTGTTCAATGTTTTAAATTTTAGATTTTTCGATTTCTGGATTTTTATATTTCCCAGTTCTTCAGTATTTCTATTTTACAATCTTTCAAATTTTGACGTTGCTAAATTTTCAGTTTTCCGATTTTTCGATTAATATATACACATTTTTTATTTTACCGTTTCTCGAATTCGCAGTTTCGACTTTTCAGTTCTTCAATTTTTCGTTTTTTAAACTTTAGATTTTTCAATTTTCAACTGTTTTATATATATGTACTTCGATTTGTGAATTTTTAGAGTTTTCAATTTTTTGAGAACTCGATTTATCGAGATTCGGATGTTTCGATGTTTTGATTGTCTCAGTTTTTGAATTTTTCGATGTTTCGATTTTTCGTTTTTTTACTTTTCGGTTTCCGATTTTTCAATTTTCCAATTTTTTAAATTTTCAAGTTTTGACGTTTCTAAATTTTCAGTTTTACGATTTCTCAATGAATCTATTTTTTGGTTTTCCTATTTTCGACTTGCGAAGGTTTCGATTTTTCAGTTTTTCAGTTCCTCAATTTTTCGATTCTTTAGGTTTGCAATTTTTCGATTTCCCAATTTTGTGAGTTTTCTCAGTTTTTCGATTCTTCATTTTTTCACGTTCTAGATTTTTCGATTTCTCGATTTTTTACTTTTTGGATTTTCAATTTTTCGTTCCTTCAATTTTTCAGTTTGCATCAGTTTTTCAATTTGGCAATTTTTCAATATTACAGATTTTCAGTTTTCGATTTTTCAGTTTCTCAATTTTTCGTTTTTCTCTTTTCCAATTTTTTGTTTCCGATTTTCATTTTTCATTTTCCCGATTTTTTAATTTCCACTTTTTCGATTTTATATCACAATTTTCCGTTTTTTGATTTCCTTAATTTTTTGTTGTTTCTTTCGATTTTCCAATTTTTCCTTTATCAAATTTTCCAATTTTTCAATATTACAATTTCTCATTTTTCCATTTTTTACATTCTTGATTTTTAATTGTGCCCTTTTTCAATTTTCCGTCCCCTCAATTTTTCAACTCCCCGATTTTTATTTTGCAATTTCCTGATTTTTTATTTTTCATTTTCTCGATTCTATATCACATTTTTTTCTTTTTTCATTTCCTTAATTTTTGTTGTTTATTTCGATTTTCCAATTTTTCGTTTATTTTCAAATTTTCAGGCCAATCGATTCCAATTCGTCGATTTTCCAATTTTTAAATTTTTCAGTTTGCAGTTTTTGGGTTCCACCCCTTTTTACTTTTTGGATTTTCAATTTTTCGTTAAACCTTAGATTTCTCAAATTTTCGACAGTTTTATACTTCCATTTCTTAATTTTTTTTCAACTTTTCGATGTTTCAAATTTTCTTTTTTAAAATTTTTCATTTTTTTTTATTTCTCGATTTATCGAATTCAGATGTTTGGATGTTTTGATTGCTCAATTTCTCAATTTATCAATTTCTCATTTTTTTTCTATTTCTCGATGTTTCGATTTTTCAGTTATCCGATTTTTCAATTTTTTTAAATTCTGGAGTTTCGATTTGTCGATTTTTCAGTTTTTCGATTTTAAATTTTAGATTTTCGAATTTTTCTTTTTTGATTCTTTGATGTTTGGATTTCTCCATTTTTCAATTTTGCGATAGTTCAATTGTTCAATGTTTTAAATTTTAGATTTTTCGATTTCTGGATTTTTATATTTCCCAGTTCTTCAGTATTTCTATTTTACAATTTTTCAAATTTTGACGTTGCTAAATTTTCAGTTTTCCGATTTTTCGATTAATATATACATATTTTTTATTTTACCGTTTCTCGAATTCGCAGTTCCGACTTTTCAGTTCTTCAGTTTTTCGTTTTTTAAACTTTAGATTTTTCAATTTTCGGCTGTTTTATATATATGTATGTATTTCGATTTGTGAATTTTTCGAGTTTTCAAACTCGGATGTTTCGACGTTTTGATTGTCTCAGTTTTTGAATTTTTCGATTTATCGGTTTTTTTTTTTTACTTTTCGGTTTTCGATTTTTGAATATTCCGATTTTTCAATTTTTTTTATTTCTCGATTTATCGAATTCAGATGTTTGGATGTTTTGATTGCTCAATTTCTCAATTTCTCAATTTTTTTCTATTTCTCGATGTTTCGATTTTTCAGTTATCCGATTTTTCAATTTTTTTAAATTCTGGAGTTTCGATTTGTCGATTTTTCGGTTTTTCAATTTTAAGTTTTAGATTTTCGAATTTTTCTTTTTTGATTCTTTGATGTTTGGATTTCTCCATTTTTCAATTTTGCGATATTTCAATTGTTCAATGTTTTAAATTTTAGATTTTTCGATTTCTGGATTTTTATATTTCCCAGTTCTTCAGTATTTCTATTTTACAATTTTTCAAATTTTGACGTTGCTAAATTTTCAGTTTTCCGATTTTTCGATTAATATAAGTATACATACTTTTTATTTTACCGTTTCTCGAATTCGCAGTTTCGACTTTTCAGTTCTTCAGTTTTTCGTTTTTGAAACTTTAGATTTTTCAATTTTCGACTGTTTTATATATATGTACTTCGATTTGTGAATTTTTACAGTTTTCAATTTTTTGAGAACTCGATTTATCGAGATTCGGATGATTCGATGTTTTGATTGTCTCAGTTTTTGAATTTTTCGATGCTCCGATTTTTCGTTTTTTTACTTTTCGGTTTCCGATTTTTCAATTTTCCAATTTTTTAAATTTTCAAGTTTTGACGTTTCTGAATTTTCAGTTTTACGATTTCTCAATTAATCTATTTTTTGGTTTTCCCATTTTCGACTTGCGAAGGTTTCGATTTTTCAGTTTTTCAGTTCCTCAATTTTTCGATTCTTTAGGTTTGCAATTTTTCGATTTCCCAATTTTGTGAGTTTTCTCAGTTTTTCGATTCTTCAATTTTTCACGTTCTAGATTTTTCGATTTCTCGACTTTTTACTTTTTGGATTTTCAATTTTTCGTTCCTTCAATTTTTCAGTGTGCATCAGTTTTTCAATTTGGCAATTTTTCAATATTACAGATTTTCAGTTTTCGATTTTTCAGTTTCTCAATTTTTCGTTTTTCTCTTTTCCAATTTTTTGTTTTCGATTTTTATTTTCATGTTCCCGATTTTTTAATTTTCACTTTTTCGATTTTATATTACAATTTTCCTTTTTTTTGATTTCCTTTATTTTTTGTTGTTTCTTTCGATTTTACAATTTTTCCTTTATCAAATTTTCCAATTTTTCAATATTACAATTTCTCATTTTTCCAATTTTTACATTCTCGATTTTTAATTGTGCCCTTTTTCAATTTTCCGTCCCCTCAATTTTTCAACTCCCCGATTTTTATTTTGCAATTTCCTGATTTTTTATTTATCATTTTCTCGATTCTATATCACATTTTTTTCTTTTTTCATTTCCTTAATTTTTGTTGTTTATTTCGATTTTCCAATTTTTCGTTTATTCAATTTTTTAAATTTTCAGGCCAATCGATTCCAATTCGTCGATTTTCCGATTTTTAAATTTTTCAGTTTGCAGTTTTTGGGTTTCCACCCCTTTTTACTTTTTGGATTTTCTATTTTTCGTTAAACTTTAGATTTCTCAAATTTTCGACAGTTTTATACTTCGATTTCTTAATTTTTTTTCAACTTTTCGATGTTTTAAATTTTCTTTTTTTAAATTTTTCATTTTTTTTTACTTCTCGATTTATCGAATTCAGATGATTGGATGTTTTGATTGCTCAATTTCTCAATTTATCAATTTCTCAATTTTTTTCTATTTCTCGATGTTTCGATTTGTCGATTTTTCAGTTTTTCGATTTTAAGTTTTAGATTTTCGAAATTTTCTTTTTTGATTCTTTGATGTTTGGATTTCTCCATTTTTCAATTTTGCGATATTTCAACTGTTCAATGTTTTAAATTTTAGATTTTTCGATTTCTGGATTTTTATATTTCCCAGTTCTTCAGTATTTCTATTTTACAATTTTTCAAATTTTGACGTTGCTAAATTTTCAGTTTTCCGATTTTTCGATTAATATATACATATTTTTTATTTTACCGTTTCTCGAATTCGCAGTTTCGACTTTTCAGTTCTTCAGTTTTTCGTTTTTTAAACTTTAGATTTTTCAATTTTCGACTGTTTTATACATATGTATTTCGATTTGTGAATTTTTCGAGTTTTCAAACTCGGATGTTTCGACGTTTTGATTGTCTCAGTTTTTGAATTTTTCGATTTATCGGTTTTTCGTTTTTTTACTTTTCGGTTTTCGATTTTTCAATTTTCCAATTTTTTAAATTTTCAAGTTTTGACGTTTCTGAATTTTCAGTTTTACGATTTCTCAATTAATCTATTTTTTGGTTTTCCCATTTTCGACTTGTGAAGGTTTCGATTTTTCAATTTTTCAGTTCCTCAATTTTTCGATTTTTCAGGCTCCAGATTTTTCAATTTTTCGATTCTTTAGGTTTGCAATTTTTCGATTTCCCAATTTTGTGAGTTTTCTCAGTTTTTCGATTCTTCAATTTTTCACGTTCTGGATTTTTCGATTTCTCGACTTTTTACTTTTTGGATTTTCAATTTTTCGTTTTTTGAACTTTCGGTTTTCACAATCTTTCAACTTTTCGATATTTTAAGTTTTCGATTTTTAAAATTTTAAGTTTTTCGATTTCTCGAGTTTTCAGTTCTTATATATTTGAATTTTTCTATTTTCGAAATTTAAAGTTAATTATAAGTTACTTTTTTAAAAAACACACTAGAAGAACATGAACAAAAACAGAGTAAGATACGGTGCTAATAAAAATACAGGGTGTGAGTGAACCCTACTATATAAAGATAGTGAACGGATAATATGTGACCTGTATTTAAATTTTTATATATGTTTTTTAAAATGCTAGAGTAGAAATACTGTGAGAAGAAAATGCTCAGTAGCACAAATCAATCAATAGTGGACGACGCGATTCAAAAACAAATTCACGATTGGCCAGTTATAGATTTCCGTTCGTTGTAAATAATTTGGGGTGGATTTCAATTTACATACAGGTCATTTCAAACTCTACAACTCTTACCTGTTCAGCCGCCTTGAGCTTAGCGCACTCCTCCCTCAGCGCATCCACGCTCTCCTCCAGCATCCGCTTCTTGTTCTCGGCCTCCCTCATCGACTCCTGGAGACTCTTCATCCGCGCCTCGTGCTGCGAAATCAGCAGCCTGCACTCTCCCAACTCCTTTTCGTACTCCGTGACCTTCCTATTACTATCCTGCTCCTTGTTCTCGATTTCGTGCAGCCGCTGCGTCAAGTTCGTCACTTCGCTCTTCATCCTCGAAATGTACAACCGCGCCACCGTGAACTCCTCCTCCAGCTTAGCCGCGTCGTTCGAAATTTTAATCTCCGACCCGTCGCTGCCTAGCGTCGACCCGATCTCCCCCAGCTCCTTGAGGAGGTTGCTCAGCATCTCCGCGATCCGCTTCTTCTGGTGACTGTTCATGTCGCGGAGTTGTTGCAACTCCGTCGTCGTGCTATTCAAACTCGCTTGCTTCTGCATGAGTTCCTCCGACAACGACTCCATTTCTTTGTTCTTCGCGTCGACTTCTTGAGACTTCTGGTCGTAGTTAACCGCGAGCTCTTCGAGTGCTTGGAGCACTTCTTTGACTTCTTCTTTCGCGCTTTCGTTCTCTTGTTGGATGCGGTTCATCTCGGATTGGAGCGATTCGTAGTCGCGCCGAGTGCTGGCGATGAGTTCGTCTTGCTCCAGCATCTGCTCTTTGAGCTTCTCCACGTACTGGCTCGTCTCGTTGATTTCTTCGTCTTTTTCGTCGAGCTGCTGGTATAATCGTTCTCGTTCGAGCTCGAGCTTCCGCCGCTCCTCCATGTCGAGGGTGGACCCGATCATGAGGGCCGGCGTCGCCGGCACAGGACCCTGCGGTTTTTCCACGGTGCTCTCCTCCATGGCCGAGACGGGAGTGACGGCTTCGGCGATCTCGTTGAGGTTGACTTGCTCTTCGGCTTTGACGGTTTCGCCGGCCCGCCAACGCTGCAGCTCGCTCTCCAACTTTTCCACTTTGCCCTTGAGTCGGGCCACTTTTTCCTTCTCTTTTTCGTAGCGTCGCTTCCATTCTTCGGCGGTGAGTTCTTCGTTGACGCAGACGACGTTCTTGACAGTCTTGGCTCTGTAAACACAAGCTTTCATGATGTTGTTTTTGTTTGGGTTAGATGGGTTACCTTTTTCCGAAGTCAAGGGTGGATTTGGTCTCGGACTCGTTGAAGCTGGCCGGCGAACAACAAATGACGATCGTCGTTCGGGCGTTACCACCTAACGATTCCTGGAGGATGCGGGTTAGTTTGGAGTCGCGGTAAGGTATGTGGGTTTTGTTGCCGTCAGCTAGGGCGCTGATCACGTTGCCGAGGGCTGACAGAGATTTGTTGATGTTTTTAGCTTCGTCGAGCACGGTGCCTTCGGCGCCGGTTTTTGAAACTTTTTCCGAACCGGCTAAATCTACTAAATACAATTTCCCGGATAATTTCTTTTGATTTTCTAAATTCTCCTGCTTGACGTTGATAAGGAATACTGAATGTGACCTAGACGAATGTTCGTTCATATCTACAACAAAAATTAATTAAGTGTTAGTTGCAGTAATGACCCGACTACGTACTCGTTACTGCAATATGTCTATTAGATTTGCCTTCTTCGATCGATTCGAAAACTTCTTCCGGACTCGAAACGAATCTCTCTGTGGCACCCTTCACGTAAGGAACTCGGTTTTTATCTTCGTGGACGCTCAAATTTACTTTAGATACTAGAAAACAACAAGGGTTAGAATTTTCACGACCCAACTAAACCGACGTCTCACCATCGAGTAAATCTCTAATTTTGTCCATGTAGATTTCGAAATACGACACTTTTATGTGAAACTCCAGGTTTTCTTCCATTGCGTATATGTGGTTGAAGATATCGTTGACTATGCGGGGGATGATACCCTGTTTTTGGGGGTCGCCTATGACACCTTCCATGGTATGTGTTTTACCGGAAGACGTCTGACCATAGGCGAAAATTGTGCCGTTGTAGCCGGCCAAGACGTCAGAAACGATGCTTTTAGCGGCCTCATTGTAAACTTTTTCTTGGGTTGCGTTCGGTTTGAAGACTTTGTCGAATAAATAGACTTTACCCTAAACAAACAAGATAAGTGAACAAAGCAAACGCCGCTTTAGATGCACGATGCAGATGGAATATTGTTTATCGCGACTTAGTCGTGTCATAATTTGATCCCAAATAAATGGACTATAGAAAATATCTAGAAAGTTTTTCGAATTTGTTGCAAGCTGTTACGAAATTGCATCTTCAATTTTCGTCTGGCCAGGATGCAAATTAAGTCCAATTTAGAAAGCAGTAAAGCACCTTTTTCATCTGACACTATCTCTGTTGCAATATTTACTAAAATAATAATGAGTCATACATGATTCAGAGTTATTAAATTAACTTTATCACCTTCAGTAGACAAAAGGGTTTCAACCTCAATTGCAACACGGCTACTGACATTTTCGTTTACGCTTTGTCGATGAATATTTATGGATCGGGAATCAGAGCATATGTATTATAATCGAGTTATCTGTTATCTGTCAAGTTCAACAGATTTTTTATCAGCACTCCTTCGCATTTATACTTAACTACAGTTTAAAGCTTTCATAAAAAAAAGACTAAACTCAACAGAGATAAATAACGGTAAATACACTTCGGTTATATTAAACAATGATATGCAAAGTGCTTTTCTGGCGCAATCAAACCATTTTTGCTTCCATTGTAACCTTGAACTTTTTTGTGATTGCACCTTTATTAAAGTACTAAAAACCAACACGTCCACACTGCATGACAAATTGCTAACGGTTGCTTGAGTTTGCTTGACATTCTTGAATTTTCTTCCATAGAAACTGCTGAAACTTTATCTGTGTGCAGTGCTCCCAGTAGTATTATAACTACAAGGGCTTACATTTTGCCCTTTTTTTCTTAATATAAGTAGTCTTCTTTTCACAACAAAACTGGTAAAACTTGTTTAAAATGGTAAATTTTTGCAGGAAAGTATCGATTTTGCAATTAGGCTCCTCCCCTAGGTCTGACAACGAATGAAAAATTCATCACAATTGAGCTTGGAATGGATATGGGTGGGGCTTATTTTTGGTTTGTTTTTTCCTCAATAAACATAGTATTCTTTGAAAACACGATACTCAAAAACATGTTTTTTATTTCTTGTAGAGAAATAAGGATTTTCCAATTAACCCCCTTGGCTCACGACGCATAAAATAATCATCAGAATTGAGACAGGGCGGGTGGGCGGGGCTTATATTTTGTGTTTTTTTTATATACATAGCCATTTTTTCACAACAAGAACTTGAAACGTGGTTAAAATGGTACATTTTTCCAAGGAAATATGGATTTAGCAATTATGGGACACACCCTAATTGCAAAATCGATATTTCCTTATACAAATTTTCCATTTTCAACGTGTTTCAAGTTTCATATTCTGAAAAGAAGTCCACACATATTAAAACAAAAAAGGAAATGTCAGCCCGCCCACCCGCCCTGTCTCAATTGTGATGATTTTTTTCATTCGCCGTGAACCAAGAGGGCGGAGCTTAACTGCAAAATACTTATTTCTTTCCAAGAAAGTAAAAACATGTTTTTGAGTATAGTGTTGTTCAAAGAATACTATGTATATTTAGACAAAAAGGCAAAACATAAAGAGCGCCCACCCACTCCCTCTAAATTGTGATGATTTTTTTATTCTTAGAAACTTAAAACACTTTTAAAATGGTTAATTTTTGTTAAGAAAATATGGATTTTACAATTAGACTCCGCCTCTAGGGTCTGCCAACGAATGAAAACTTCATTGCTATTTAGACTATTTGAATAACACGATACTCAAAAACACGACTTACGTGGTTATTTTTTTCTAGAGAAATCATAATGATTTTGCAATTAAATTCAGCTCATTTGGCTCGCGACGATTAAAAAAAATCATCACAATCGAGATCGGGCGGGTGGGCGGGGCTTATATTTTGGCCTTTTTCTTAATAATCGTCTTTTCAGAACAAGAAAATTAAAACATGCTTAAAATGGTAAATTCTTGATGACAAATATGGATCTTGCCATTAAGCCCCACCCTTCGACCTGACAGCGAATGAAAAGTTCGTCACAATTGAGATTTGAGATCGGGGCGCGTTTGCGTGGGGCCTAATCTTTGGCTTAATATACATACATATTTTCCGTTGAACAACACGATAGTCAAAAATATGTTTTTAATTTCTCGCAGAGAAACAAGAACTTTGCAGTTAAGCTCCGCCTTCTTGGCTCACGACGAATAAAAAAAATCATCCGAATTGAAATAGGGTGGGTGGGCGGGGCTTATATTGTGACGATTTTTTTATTCACCGTGAAGCGATGGGGCGGAGCTTAACTGCAAAATACTTATTTCTTATTCATTCTTATTAGCTATGATGAAGTAAAGTTGAATTTTATATTAAACTAGCTGACCCCGTGAACTTCGTTTCACCTACAACTTAATTTTGAATCTGCAAACCGAATGCTTTGAAATCTGGCAGATGTTTTAAACATCTGATAAGCATAATACATTTTTATTCAAAATAATACTTACTTCTTCCAAAAAATTGATGACGTCTGCCCAAAATTTTGCCAAATGAATCCTTTTTAAAATATCCAAAATAGGATGAGACTATACTTGTGATTTATCATTCCATTCATATTTTTTAGTTTTGCTTATAGGGGGTGTCTCAAAAAAAAATTAATCACTGAGTCAGTTTATTTTATTGATTGAATCAAGAATTGCAAAACTAAATTTTTAGATTTATTGCAGACGTTTTGAAGTTACTGTTTGACAGGGTACGTTTTTAATTAAAATATATCTGTTTATCAAGCCCAAAAACTTGATGACGTCATCTCAAGATTTTGCTGAATAAATCCTATCTAAAATGTGCAAAATATCATCAGTATATTTTCGTAAATTTATCATTGCATTCATATTTTTTAGATTTGCTTTTACAGTGACAAAAAAATGTATGGATCAGTCAATTTATTTTAGAAAATAATTCAAGAGTTGCAGAAATGACATAATTAATATAATTCATAATGTTTAAATATGATAACTATTAATATGTGATAATTAAACCGAAAACCATTTGCCTAAGAACACGAGGTCCGCAAAAACAAATTAGTTTGTTTAAACATTGTTAAATTAACCCCGAACATGTACAATTTCTGAGCGAAAATATGAAAAATAATTTTTACAATCTCATCGTGACGTACGATGACGCCACTGTCACGTGAGCCACCTGATAAAAGGTCACATTTTTCGGTCCTCTGCGTTTAGTTTTGATTTCGGTTTGGTGGCAACAACATCAGAGTCCGTTTTGGCTTAAAAGTAGGGCTGTTTTCACGAATTTCTAATTTATATATTTAAATATTAGTGAAAATGTGTTGTATTAGTACTGTGAACACGAACGAAAAAGGATATTTTTCCGAAAAAGACGGAAAACAGGGTAAGTACGACTTCAGTTTTAATTTATCGGATTCCGTGATTCGTTCACTCGACTTTGTTTAAATTTTGGGAACATTTTCGAAACGATTGAAATCGGTTGATCAAAGCTATACATTTTCACGATATAAATAAATAAATTTTAAACATAATTAATATCACTTATAATGTTTAAATATGATAAGCATCAATATACGATAATTAAACCGAAACTCGTTTTCCTACAAACCCGAAATTATTAAAAACAAATCAATTTGTTTAAACAATGTTAAATTATCCCCGAAAATGTGCATTTTCCCGGCCAAAATATGAAAAATAAATTTTGCAATCTCATCGTGACGTACGATGACGTCAATGTCACCTGAGCTACTTGTATAAAGGTCACGTGTTTCGGTCCTTTGTGTTCAGTTTTAATTTCTGTTTGATGGCGGCAAGATCGTCGCTTCATTTTGGCGTAAAAGTGGAACGTTTTAGTGAATTTCTAGTTTATTATTAATACATATTAAGGAAAATATGTTGTGTTAGTGCTGTGAACAAGAACGAAAATGGATATTTTTCCGAAAAAGACGGAAAACAGGGTAAGTACGACTTCAGTTTTAATTTATCGGATTCCGTGATTCGTTCACTCGACTTTGTTTAAATTTTGGGAACATTTTCGAAACGATTGAAATCGGTTGATCAAAGCTATACATTTTCACGATATAAATAAATAAATTTTAAACATAATTAATATCATTTATAATGTTTAAATATGATAAGCATCAATATACGATAATTAAACCGAAACTCGTTTTCCTACAAACCCGAAATTATTAAAAACAAATCAATTTGTTTAAACAATGTTAAATTATCCCCGAAAATGTGCATTTTCCCGACCAAAATATGAAAAATAATTTTTGCAGTCTCATGGTGACGTACGATGACGTCAATGTCACGTGAGCTACCTGTATAAAGGTCACGTTTTACGGTCCTTTGTGTTCAGTATTTATTTCTGTTTGATGGCGGCAAGATCGTCGCGTCATTTTGGCGTAAAAGTGGAGCGTTTTAGCGAATTTCTATTTTATTATTAATACATATTAAGGAAAATTTGTTGTGTTAGTGCTGTGAACACGGACGAAAATGAATATTTTTCCGAAAAAGACCGAAAACAGCGTAAGTACGACTTCAGTTTTAATTTATCGGATTCCGTGATTCGTTTGGTCGACAATGTTTACATTTTGGATAAATTTTCGAAACGATTGAAGTTGGTGGGTCAAAGCTATACATTTTCGCGATATAATTAAATAAAATTTAAACATAATTAATAGAATTCATAATGTTCAAATATGATAACTATCAATATATGATAATTAAACCGAAATCCATCTTCCTATGAACACGAGGTTAGCAAAAACAAATTAGTTTGTTTAAACATTGTTAAATTAACCCCGAAAATGTACAATTTCTGATCTAAAATATGAAAAATAATTTTTGCAATCTCATCGTGACGTACGATGACGTCACTGTCACGTGAGCTACCTGATAAAAAGTCAATTTTTCCATCCTCTGTGTTTAGTTTTGATTCCGGTCCGGTAGCAGTAACAATGGAGATCCGTTTTGGCTTAAAAGTAGCACGTGTTCGCG